TTGGTCTCATCTATTCAGCTTTGTGGGACTTGCTAAACCTCTTTCTTTTGGTTCCCTGCTGGATAGTGCTTTAGACTTATGGCTTTCGGCCCTCAACTGCCCTGCTCTGGGCCAACCTTGCTTTGCTGGGCATTTGCCCATAAGGGAATAACTTTCAGAGTTTGATTGGCAATGTTATTTGAAGTCCTCTTTTTCTCTGTTGCCCCTTTGAATTTTCACAACAATTAAATATGTCTTCAAATACCTTAAGAGTGCTTTCTTTGCAATTGTGCACATGGGTGTCTGGAACTTAGAAAGTACAAAATGGGCTTTTCCCTTTAATAGTTTGGGGTCCTGGGTACTCTTTAGTCATGCATCTACAATGTACATGTTGTGCTAGATTATAATTAGCATATGGGTCTTCATTTTATAAACTTGACCTATGGCGCTGGCATAGCACACTATTGGAGATACTTTGATCTGACAACTAGAAATTTTCTTGACTAACTTCCCTCAGGATTCCCTATTAGAATTGTAGCAAACTTGCACCTCTTTTTCTTTTGTTTCCATAGAAATGTCTCTTATTACTGGTACAATATAGGCATGATTTTGGGACCCGCCTGCAGGGCTGTATTCAGAATTGTACTGATCTAGTTGTACTGATCTATTCTCAGTACTATTTCTATAAAATAATTGAATGACTTAATTTCTTATTTTTTTATTTTATTTTTTAAAGATTTATTTATTTATTTATACAAGCACTGGGTACAGTCAGAAGTGCTGGAGGGTGAGAGAATTCACCAGAGCCAGAGCGGGGAGCAGAGCAGGCAGACTGACAAAGTACACTGCTGAGGGGAGCAGAGGGCGGCAGGAGAGGTCTGTGCGCCATGTGGGACCCTTGCCCGCGGCTGGGGATCAAACCGGCGCTGCAGAGGCTGCGGGCAGCTTCGCAACCCAGCGCTCAACCGCTGAGCCACCGGTGAGGCCTGAATGACTCAATTTCTTAATTGTGGAAGCTCCTCAGAAATTTCAAAGCAGGGCTATGGTGATACAAAACCTGATCTTTTTGTCAAGAGGTTTACTTCATGGCAAGGGCTCTGAAGTTGCGTAGAAGTTGTTTTTGATTTTAATATGTAAACTTCTCTATCAATAGGCCCCTCCCAGGAAGACCTTTTTGGTAGAAAAGGCAAAACTTAAATCTGCATCCAGCCATCTAATGAATAAACTCCTTTATTGAACTTCCTCTTTCTTTTCCCCACCTCCATTATCTTAGCAGCTCTTTCAAATGTTGTCTAAAGCCATATGGCATATGGTTGAGTTACTCAGTCATGCTTGGAGATGTACATGTTATTGTTAAACTTTTAAAAAATTCTCATATCAAAATGGTTTTATAAATGCATAGCACAAAATATGCACCCAACAAATATTTTATTAAGTAAATGTAAGGCTAATAGATGGCTGGATTCACAGTAGAAAGGTAAAATCTGTGGAAATATTCTAAAATGCATACATCTATCCTTGTTTTAAATAAGGGATGGTTACCTCAGAAGTTTCTTTGCTGTTTGTTAATAAATCCATAATATTTAAAGAGTTAATAGTTATCAGACTACCATGAACATCCTAACGTAATTTGTAATTTTAAAAGTCAAAGATTGTTACATGGATTCATTTATCTAAAAGGAATGTTGTGTCATTATGTTACAGGGCCACCCTAGGGGAAACAGGATGGCCTGGGGTGTGAGTCCTCACCTGCACACTTAAGAACCTGGGACAAGACCCAAAAGCAGACATAGAGAGACAGATTAAAAAAACAAAAGATTTATTCACAAGGGGCAGGGGAATCAGGAGAAGAGAGAAGGAGGGAGAGATGGAGAGAGTGAATGAAAGAGAGAGAGAGGGAGGAGAGGCTAATTGTTCAATACATAGCAGGATGCCATCTGTCTTACCAGGAGTGCTGAGTGGAGGCCAGAGAGCACTTCAAAGCCAGTCAAAAAACAGAGTGAAGCCCAACTGTCCTCAGTCTTTTAAGATCAACACTCAGCTCCATCCCTGACTCCGAGCAACCTCCTCCCCAGTTTAGGAAGTCAGGTTCATGGCATGCTGGGAATTGCAATCTGTGATCTCCTCAGCTCAAAAGTGGAGGTGGAGACTGGTAAGATCAGGGGGTGGAGTCCAATCAGCATAACAGTCACTGGCTCAGAGTTTGCTCTTTGCTGTTCTTCTAACAATTAGAAAGTATATGGCTACAGGAAAGCAAAAACATGGTTCAAATTTGTTTTAAAAAATGAGATAATGTATCAAATCACATAAAAGAAGCCTAGAATTTGGGTAAATGTAAAATAAGTTTATTCAGGGGCCTCCTTGGTGGCCTAGGAGTTAAGTTTCAGCACTATCACCACTATAGCCTGAGTTCAATCCATGACCAGGGAGCTAACCCACAGGGTGTGGCAGACCTCTCTTGTCTTACCCGCTGCTCCCCTTAGCAGTGTATATCAATAAATCCGCCTGTTCTGCTCCCCACTCTGTCTCTGGTGAATCCTCTCACCTATAGCCCAGTTTTTTGTTTTTTTTTTTGTAATGTGCCATTTTTATTTTATTTTATTTTTATATTTCCCATACAATTGCAACCCTCTTATTTTGACCCCAATCCCTTCTTTCTCCGCCTCCCCCACATAGTGTGTCTCTGGTGCATAGTTGTTTGTTGATTTTGATTTTTTCTTTCTTATAGTTATTCTTTTTCCTGGTCCCTTATTTAGGTTTTCTAGATTCCTGCTATGAGTGAGACCATCCGGTATTTTTCTTTTTCTTTCTGGCTTATTTCGCTGAGCATGATCCCTTCCAGAGCCATCCATGTTGCTGTAAATTGCATGTGTTTATCTTTTTTGATTGCTGAGTAATATTCCATTGTGTATATATACCACATCTTCTTGATCCAGTCATCTATTTTTGGGCATTTGGGTTGTTTCCAAAGCTTAGCTATTGTAAATAGTGCTGCTATAAAAATAGGGGTACAGGTGCTATTTGGAATTGATGTTTCTGTGCCCTTTGGGTAAATACCTAGGAGTGGAATTGCTGGATCATATGGAAGCTCTGTCTTTAGTATTTTGAGGAATCTCCACACAGCTCTCCATAGTGTTGGACGAGTTTGCACTCCCACCAGCAGGGCAGGAGAGTTCCTTTATCTCCACATCCTCGCCACATTTGTTGTTGCTAGTTTTTTTAATATGTGCCATTCTCATTGGTGTGAGATGGTATCTCATTGTAGTTTTGATTCGCATTTCCCTGATTACAAGTGATGTTGAACCTTTTTTCATATGCCTGTTGACCATTTGTATTTCCTCTTTGGAGAAGTTTCTTTTTAGCTCTTCTGCCCATTTTTTCACTGGATTATTTTCTTTGTTTTTGTTGTGTCTCATCAGCTCTTTGCAGATTTTTGTGATCAGTCCTTTATCATTGGTGTTGTGTACAAAAATTTTCTCCCAGTTGGTGGGGTTTCTCTTTGCTTTGGTTATTGTCTCTTTTGCTGTGCAGAAGCTTTTTAATTTGATGTAGTCTCAGCTGTTTATCTTTGCCTTCACTATCACTGCTTTGGGTGATGTGTCTGTAAAGATGTCTTTGATGTGCACATCATGTAGTATTTCGCCTATATTTCCTTTTATATATTTTATGGTTTCAGGTTTTATGTCTAATTCTTTAATCCATTTTGAGTTGGTTTTTGTGCATGGTGTGAGGTAGAAGTCAAGCTTCATTCTCTTGCATGTAGCAACCCAGTTTTCCCAGCACCATTTATTGAACAAACTTTCTTTGCTCCAATGCATATTCTTTGCTCCTTTGTCAAAGATTAGTTGACCATAAATCTGTGGGTTTATTTCTGGGTTTTTTTATCTGGTTCCATTTGTCCGTGGGTCTGTTCTTGTGCCAATACCATGCAGTTTTTATTATTATGGCTTTGTAGTATAGTTTGAAATCTGGGAGAGTGATGCCTCCATTCCCTTCCTTTTTTTTCAGGAGGGCTTTGGCTATTCAAGGTTTTTGGTGGTGCCATATGAATTTTATCAATATTTTTTCTATTTCTTTGAAGAATGACATTGAAATTTTAATTGGAATAGCATTGAATCTGTAGATTGCTTTTGGTAGGATGGCCATGTTGATAATGTTAATTCTTCCAATCCATGAGCAGGGGATGTCTTTCCATTTCTTTGTGTCTACTTCTATTTCTTTTAACAGTGTTTTATAGTTTTCTTTGTGTAGGTCCTTTACTTCTTTTGTTAGGTTTATTCCCAAGTATTTGATTTTTTTTTGTTTCAATAATAAAAGGAATGATTTTCTTGATTTCTTCTTCTTCAGATTTATTGTTTGTTATACCCCAGTTCTTTTATGAAAAAAAAAAATAGTTGATTATTGGCTCAGTGAAATCTTGGGCTGGATTCTGTCTGCATCTTGGTCCTATCATCTTCTTTTATTGACTTTGTCCATGAATTAGATTTCCTTAACGTTTTAACATACATTACAGAAATAATAGAAAGCATATTTTCTCTCCTAAGGGAGAGAAAAAATGCCTAAATGCCTTTCCCCCAACCAGGTGTATAAGTGCTTCCTTTTAGTCTGAAGGAACTGACTTAGATACATGCTGATTTGTGGACCAGAACATTCCACAAGGGAATTCCATATCCTCACTAGTGAGATTACTCAGTATCTTTCGCAGAACAAAAATTTTCCTGAAGCATTTGGAAGGACAAAAGAGGTGGGTAGCTCTACTCTCCAAAATGCATGGGTTCATTAGGAAGAATAAAAGGATCATACATGCTTGATAGTCAAGGTATAGTGTCCACCACAACTATTTTAAGACCTATCAAACTGGTGTTATAGAAGAGTGAGCCATTTTCTAAACCAGACAATGACCAACCCTTTCCCTTGCCCCTTCTACAAGTTCTAAATTTCATATTTAAAATAATCTAATAGGGAATATTTTAGATTACCTTCTTTAATATAATTATTTATATATATATATTTTATTTTAGGCCTCATAATGGGATTGATCTTACGCTATGCTACAGCACCAACTGATATTGAAAGTGGAACTGTTTATGATTGTGGAAAACTGAACTTCAGTCCATCAACTTTATTGATTAATATCACTGACCAAGTATATGAATATAAATACAAGAGAGAAATAAGCCGGCATAACATCAGTCCTCACCAAGGCAATGCTATACTTGAAAAGGTAAGGGACCTATTGGTCATAGATTTTTTTTTCCAGTATAAATAATATGTGAACCATTATATGTGAACCATTAAAAAGGTCTTGCATTTTACATACATACAAAAATATATGCCCTTTAGTAATAACACACTAGTGGGGTGACTTAATTGATGAATTTTACTCTTAGAGCAAGCTCAATGCTGTTTTTTTTTTCTTTTAATGCAAACAGTTGTAATAGTTTAAAAGAACATAATAGAGCTGACTCTGCCTTTAATGATACTAGATTGAAGTTTTAGGTGCCATTGTGTATATTGCTAGCTGACTACTTCCTTCCACTCTAAAGCCAAAAAGAAAATGTAGGAGAATGAAAAAAAATTGCATTTGCAAACCTCATCTAGGGGGACTAGCTTTGGGCTGCAACACAAAGCACTGACCCCTTGACTGTTTATGAATACATTGATGCATTCACACTCAAGAGAGCTTGATTGGGTTTTTTTGGGCATTTGGGTTGTTTCCATATCTTAGCTGTTGTAAATAGTGCTGCAGTAAGCATAGGAGTACAGGTTTCCTTTTGAAAGTCATCATCTTTTTTTTTAAAGATTTATTTAAAATAAATGTACATATACACAATGGAATATTACTCAGCAATCAAAAAAGATAAACACATGCAGTTTGGAGCAACATGGATAGAGCTAGAAGGGATCACACTCAGCAAAATGAGTCAGAAAGAAAAAGAAAAATACCGGATGATCTCACTCATAGCAGGAATCTAGAAAACCTAAACAAGGGACCAGGAAAAAGACTAATTAATACAAAGTAAAAATCAAAATCAACAAGCAACTATAAACCAGAGATACACTACTGGGTGGGGGGGAGGGGAGAGGGATAGGGAGCTGAAGGACTATGGTCAAAATAAGGGGGGGGGTGCAATTGTATGAGGAATATAACCAAAATGAAAATGCATACATTGTGCAAAAATGAAAAAAGATGTAAGAATTATATAAAATAAAAAAAATAAAAGATTTATTTATTATTTATTATTTATCTTTAATTTATTTTAATTTTTTTAAAGATTTGTTTATTCATGCATACAAGAACCAGGGTACAGGCCAGATAAAAGGGAGGGTGAGAGGATTCACCAGAGACAGAGTGGGGAACAGAACAGGAAGACTGACTGAAATACACTGCTGAGGGGAGTAGCAGGCGAGACAGGAGAGGTCTGCCGCGCCATGTGGGTAGCTCCCAGGCTGGCTGGAATCAAACCCACACTGCAGAGGCTGTGGACAGCTCCACAGCACTGCATTTTACTGCCTGTGCCACCAGGGGAGGCCCAGATTTATTTTTATACAAGAACCAGGCTACAGGCTAGATGTGCAGGAGGGTGAGAGGATTCACCCGAGACAGAGTGGGGAACAGAACAGGCAGACTGACTGAAATACACTGCTGAGGGGAGCAGTGGGCAAGACAGGAGAGGTCTGCCCTGCCATGTGTGTATTTCTGCCCTGCCATGTGTGTATTTCTGCAGCCGGTGCGGATCGAACTTGTGCTGCAGAGGCTGCGGATTGCTTCATAGTGCTGTGCTTAACCTCTGTGCCATTAGGGAGGCCCTGTATACATCTTTTTCTATTTTGAAAGATTTGTGGCAGGAGGGGAGTCACTTTTTCTATTATTTTTACTCTTTCAAGATTGTTAATTTACAGTTTTTTTTTCCACGTTATCTTTCACTAGCAAATTTCTAGGTGAACACTCCTTGAGCATTTGGTAAGAATGCAGTAAAGTAATATGAATTAAGGTATTAGCCTAATCTGACTTAGGAAAGTGAATTTAAGGTACACAAAAGCAAATTAAATATTATATTTTTAAAATAAATAGATGCAATTTTTAGATCTGCTGTTTTGGATTATCTGTTCCATGTGATTCTTTTGTTTATATGAATAATAGATGTTACCTATTATATATTTTTAGATGACAATTTTGGCAGCATTGTATTTTAATTAAAACACCCTCTTCAGTGCCTCCCTGGTAGTGCAGGAGGTTGAGCGCAGAGCTGTGAATCTGTCTGCAGCCTCTGTGGCACTGGTTAGATCCCAGCCAGTCGGCGAGATACCCACATGGTGTGGCAGACTTCTCCTGTTGCACCTGCTGCTCCCCTCAGCAGTGTATTTCAGCTAGTCTGCCTGTTCTCTTCCCCACTCTGTCTCTCATGAATCCTCTCACCCTTCTGCACATCTGGCCTCTACCCCAGTTCTTGCATAAATAAATAAATAAATAAATAAATAAATAAATAAATAAATCTAAAAAAAAAACCACTCTTCAATTGTGCTTTATATCTAACACTGTATGTGGACATAACTATTTCCTACAATTTCTTATACTTTTTAAAATTTTTTTAAAGATTTATTTATTTATGCATATAAGAATTGGGGTACAGGCCAGAGGAATGGGAGGGTGAGAGGATTCACCAGAGACAAAGTGGGGAACAGAACAGGCAGATCAACTGAAATACACTGCTGAGGGGAGCAGCAGGCGAGACAGGAGAGGTCTTCTGCGCCATGTGTGTGTCTCCCTGGCCAGGGGTCAAACTCATGTTGCAGTGGTTGCAGATAGCCTCGTAGGTTGTGTCTTAACCCTTTGTGCCACCAAGGAGGCCCTTTCTTACACTTTTTTATCTGCATTTTTAAGCAGCAAACAGATTGAACTCCCAAAATGTAATCAGTTTTCTCTTTCAGTATAGCAATTTTATTCTTTAATGATTGCCAACAAACACCTATTCAGAAACTTTGTTACTGTATTGATTGTTACATATTGTTTGTTACATATTGATTGTTTTGTCAGCAACCAAAGTCAAGTGTTTGCTTTTAGACAATTAATGCAAGAGATAAAGAAAATATCTAAGCTGTTGGGACCTCCCACTCCCCACCTTAAACTTTTCAGTGTGTGGATCTGCACATGGAATACACATTTGACCTTGAACAGCTCAATTAGCTAATTCCTAAATCATGTGACTCATTAAGTCACAATTAGCAGTTGCTTCAGGCATCCAGTGTTTGCAATGGGCAACTCAGTTCCCAGAGAAAATCCTCTCATGGCTAAAGGAGAAAGGTTGTCCACCAATGCTTATTAAATGCCTTTATGTTGAAAGGAGCTTATCTATAAATGTCCAGAGTATTTTAATACACATTTGTTACTTATGTGACACTGTGGGGACACTCTCATCAGTCTGTGAAAATGAGCAATGTATAGCCTGTCTTCCTTTCTGGGATTTCTCTACTGCATGCAACAAGTTATTGAACTTGAACTAATCAATCAGTACATTGAACTAATCAATCAGTACATCTCAGATGTAAAAGAACTCCAAAGAAGGGTCCCCTGGAATGTTTATAGGGAGGTAAAATTGAGGAATGGGGGGAAATTTCAGGACCAGAGAGATCTTCCATACCTTCTTAGAAAGTTCCTTGATCTTTTTTTTTTTAAAGATTTATTTATTTATTTTATATGAGAACTGGGGTACTGGCCAGATGCGTGGGAGGGTGAGAGGATTCACCAGAGACAGAGTGGGGAACAGAACAGGCAGACTGATGAAACATACTTCTGAGGGGAGCAGTGGGCGCGACAGGAGAGGTCTGCCATGCCATGTGGGACCCTCATCAGCCGGCCGGGATTGAACTGGCGCTGTCGGCTGTGGACAGCTTCACAGCGCAGTGCTCAACCGCCTGTGCCACTAGGGGAGGCCCTCCTTGATCTTTTTAATCTCCAAGTTTTTTATCTGTAACATGGGGGAGATTAGAACTTATTTTGTAGGATTCTTTTCATCTTTAAATGAAATGGTGGGGCCTCCCTAGTGGCACAAGGGGTTAAACATCAGGAAGAAATCCATAGCTACTGTAACACGAGTTTGATCCCCAGCTGGCCAAGGAGCTACCCACATGGTGTGGCAGACTGCTTCTGAAATTGAACCCTCTCATAGATGAACAAAACAGGAATTTAAGCACTAAAATTTATTAAGTCAGTAGTTCTTAAGTTTGTATGCATTATGGAATCACCAGAAGCTTCAAAAAATTCCTGATTCCTGTGCTGCATCCCTGAAGTCTGTGATTTTACTGCTTTAGGGTGTGGCCTGAGCTTTGGAATGTTTAGATTACTGGGCAATTCTAATGAGCAGACAGGTTTGGGAATCACTGATTTAATCCCAGGTGTGTTGGATGAACATGGTGAAGAGCCAGGCCATTTCTGTGTTTCTCCTCATTTCCACTGCTGAACATCTACCAGCCCCTTCGATTTTGTTCCTCAAACACACCAAGCACTTTCTTGCTTCAGGACCTCTGCATGTCTTGCTTTTTGACTAAAATGTCTGCTCTTCAATTGTTGTAATCTTTTTGTCCCTAGAGCTTGGATTTGAAATGCTCTCTCTTCAAAGAAGGACAGATTTCCCTCTTCGACAAATTTCTCACATTATTCATTCTCTCTCTCTCTCTCTTACATGTGTGCGTATGTACATGCTTGCACACACACACGCACACGCAGACATAGACACACACATCATTGTCCTTCTTACATTGTTATTGTTTACTAGACTGTAAACTTCACAAAGGTATGGATCATGATATTTCACGACCAGTGTGTCTTCGGTGTCTGTCATAGTGTCTTAGGCGTAATAGAGCTAAATGAAACTAACATACTATCTGATCTTAGTTGTGCACATGAAGGTAATAAATTTATATACAGAGAAATTATATGATGGGTCCAGGGTCATCTCCTCACCATTGGAAAGGTTTCCCCAGTGGCTCTGTTGACAGAGAAGGGCAGCAGCGTGTCTTTGGCTGACACCTGGGGACTCACAAAGTGAGATAGGGGGAGGAGGTGAGAACTAGAGCTGAAGGGAGAGTGGTGGTTGGAGGACAGGAAGAGGCCCAGCATCTCAGAGCAAAGGAGTTTTGTATGGTCAGAACCACAGGAAGAAGTGCAGTGTGGTGATGATTCAGAAGCTATCAATGTGGCCCCTCTGGGTCCTTTTCCTTTGT